GAAAGCTAATGTGTGATGCTCTGTTGGCAGTGGAAGAAACACAAGTTGTCACTGTTTGGATGTTTATTTTATTTACTTCATTTATTCCCTGCCTTTCTCCTCAGTGGGGACTCAGAAGTGACTGGCATTATTCTCCTCACCTCCATTTCATCCTCACCCTGTGAGAAAGGTTAGGCTCAGAATGGGTGGCTGGACCAAGGTCACCCAACAGGCTTCCATAGTTCAAGTAGGGATTCGAACTGGAGTCTCCCAGGTTCTAACCATGGCACTGTGTTGGCTGTCAATGGAATGTATCAGGAATGGTGTGGATGTATAAAATATGCCACTCTTTCTTCAAATATATTTTCTTAAACATGATGCTGTTTGAGTAGTCTACAATGTTAATAAATATTGGCAGTTGAGTTAAATATACTATTGGCTCAAAGTGTGCCACCACTATACTGACGCTAATGCTGGCAGAGCTGCATTTTTATTGATGGGGAAGAGGGCTATCTCTTACAATTTCCTTCTTGTACTGCAGGTGCCAACTTTGCCCAGCATGCTGTTTATGTAGGACACAATTTCAGAGAGCAGCAGTGGGAGAGGAGTGGCATAGTGTTGTTCTACAAACTTCATGGGCCAGATGAAAATTTCCAGTCATACTGTTTTAAGATTCAGCACAGCAGAGAGAAATGTTTACTCACAGATGCATGAACTGCTTTGAAACTTCCTCTGTGAAGTAGGCAGATTTTTCTAACCAAGGATTGCTAGAACTTTATTAGAAAATAGTCCTGGTAGTTCATGTGGAGAATAATGTATCCTTTTTATATAAAGGATTTTTTAAATATCTTTTAAATTTTTGACTGACGTGGCAATCACTCACTTTAATGGTCGATGGACATATGTATCTCCACACTTCAGTACTGCTATTCCAGTAATTGAAAATGGCTGTTTAGCTGTTTTTATTTTTAAAAAATTATTGTTCTTCTGTAAGCCATCTTGAGAACCAGTTTTGTTGAGAATGGCATGTAGATATTGGAAAGCTTTTTCATAAAACTGGAGAAAGTGCATGTAATGATTCCTTGTTTTATGTGTGTGTGTGTCTCTTTAAAAGTTTGGTTGCATGGCGGTAGTAAGTAGACTAGAGTGGTTGAGAGAAGCAAGTGTGGTATGATTGGTGGTTGACAGAGAGGGGGAGGGGTTTTGGAAGTGAAAATGAGTGGATGAGTATGTATGTCCGTCAGGAGTGACAGTTACAGGTTTGACAGTTGATAAGTTCAGTTAGTTCTGTATGGGGATTGAGTGAGACAAGCAGTTAGTTCTGGGTATGAAGGAAGTTAGAAGCAGTCCTGTATGGAAAAAGTTAGTTCAGTGAGAAACAGAAAAAAGGCTGAGAGAATAGGAAAAAGTAAATGAACATTTAATTGAAGACAAGTTATAAGAAAGGCTGTATGTCCTGATAAACTGGAGAGAAAGAGTGAGATTCCTGTCAGTAAGGGAGCATATTGTGTGTGATACACCAAGCAATGGTTCATTTATTACACATTACTAGATACCTTGTTCCACCCTTTTATTTATGAATTATTTCAATAAATCCTCTTTTATTCAAATATACCAGCTCTGAAAAAAATACTTCCTTAGGACCACATAGTTCCTCATAAGCCTTGAACTCGGACTACTTTACTAGTAAGAGCAACAGTAAAGTATAAAGGTTTGGAAAGCCTTAAATTTCCTGGTGGCAGCAGTATATACCTAGTAGAATAAAATAAAGAACACTTTTAAAGGGAAACCAGTCCTCCCCAATAATGAGGACATCACAGTGCATTTTAAGTAAATAACAAGCTGTTCTATATAAAATGAAATGTAGTTAGGGCTTTTTATTCAAGAACGCTGGAACAATAAACTCAGCAAACAGAGTGAGAAATTTGTCACTAAAAATTTTGAAGACCCTGCTAAGTCACTTTTATATCCCTTCTAAAATTGTAGTAGCTTGAACTGGTGTAAGTGCTGGTTCCTGAGTTCATTAGTGCTCTGCTTTATCTTGGGTTGCTGCAGTTCTGTTTAAAGGTAAAGGTTCCCTTGCTCGAAAGCCAGTCGAGTCTGACTCTAGGGTTGCGGTGCTCATCTCCGTTTCAAAGCCGAAGAGCCAGCCCTGTCCGAAGACGTTTCCGTGGTCATGTGGCCGGCATGACTAAACACCAAGGCACACGGAACGCTGTTACCTTCCCACCAAAGTGGTACCTATTTATCTACTTGCAGTTTCTTGCTTTGGAACTGCTAGGTTGGCAGGAGCTGGAACTAGAGACGGGAGCTCACTCCGTCATGCGGCACACTCGGGTCTCGAACTGTTGAACTACTGACCTTCCACAGCCTGCAGTTCAGCGTCTTAACCACTTGAGCCACTGGATATATTTCACAATTCCAGATCTTTGCATTTGAAAATACTAAGTTCACTTACTATTTCAAAGAGGACTTCTTAGTTATGCTCCAAAAGCAAAAAGCCAGGTAATATCTATTATTAGGCCAAACCAAGATTCTGACGTGGCTTTTGTGTTTGGATTGTCCTTTGACCAACACAAGTATCTGCAGCCTCTCTCTGTTAATCATTATGATCTCATTTTTGTTGTTGTTCAGTCGCACAGTCCGACTCTTCGCCACCCCATGGACCAGTTCCATGAATTAATGCAGTGAAAGAAGCTGGGAAACAGCTACCTTGGCTTGAGTTCTAAAGACTACAGCTTCAGAATTCTTTTAACATTCAATGAAAAATGTTTATTGCAATAATTTTGTATTTGGGATTTTTGGGGTGGGCATGTTGTAAGACATGCGGCTCCGGCTTCCATTCCGTTTCTACACCATCAACTAAACTCACTGCTATTCAACTTTATTTATTTATTTGATTTATATACCCCACCCTCCCCGCCAAAGCAGGTTTAGTGAGGACTGCTTAATAACTTACATGCTGTCACGGCTCAGGTGGGGTGTCACCTGACGCTGCCACC